CGTTCCTTAGGATCTTTTGTATTGTGGGGATAGTGATAACAACAACTATCTAAGAGCTCATATTAGAAGTTCTCGTAAAGAGTACTTGTAAATTTTATAGTGGAAATAAAGCTTCTTCAATAGAAAACTTGAAAGTTTCAACGAAAAATACACAAATGAACAAAAAGGAAGTTAGAAACAAAAGGGAAAATTAGTGATCATAAACAACAAATATAAATCAACTGAAATCTAAAAAAACGACAAATATAAATCAAAGCCTCTGCGAATTGAAACTGTTGACAAAGTGTGGACCTGTTGGCTTTTTATGTGAAAAAAAAAATAGAATAGATTATGTTAAGACTTGAAGCTTTATGGAATATCCTTGACAACTATATTTGGCGAATATATTATGTTGAGGTTAAGGTGGATTTCAGTGGAAAGGAGTCTACATTGGATGGATATGATCATATCTTGATGATCAGAATCCCAGTTTTCACTAGATGATATATTTTTATACCCTTAGTTCTACTATGTAGCATAATCTGATGGTAGTAATAAGTTTTGGTTTGTAGTTTGAATTGGCTGCTGCTTGCATGCAGATACTGATTGATGTTCCTAAAAAGGCATTACTTGTTTATGGGGACTTGTTCACATGCTTGTTAGACTACTTGGGACTTTATGGTATCTGTTCTTACTAATCTTTGTAATTTATTCTTTTTCTTATCATTGTAGGAAACGATTGGGTCGAATTATGTGGATAATCTATGGAAACTAGGTGGAAGAGTTTATTCACAGGAGTGACAAGATCTCACTAGAGCAAAAGGGAGTAGATTAAAACTTCGTAACTTGTAATTTCAAGTGAATCTATCAGTTAATAAAAAATTAATTCATATTGTCACTTGAATTATTGTGAAAATTGTACAAGTAATAAACTAAGTGCTGGTGATGTACAATTCTCAGATTGTAAAGCAGAAATAGTGCTGAAGAATTACACATTATAAGTACAGGTTTAATCTCCTTTATTCTAATTCTTCAAGCTTAATTTGCCTGTTATGCAATTTTTAGTTTCATCTGCCTCTATGAGAGTCCTTTTTAAGCTTGTTAATATCCTGTTACTCTCGATCGACTAGACCACCTGAAGGCAGACAAGAAATGAAAGCACGACCAAGAGGAGGTCCCAAAATACGGTTCCTAAGCTCTTTCGACCCGATTCTAAGCATTCAATATGAATCAACTTTGCTGATTAGTTCTTGTGTCTTTCTTATGCTTCAACTACACTAGAAGTCAAAGCCTAATGTACCAGTTGTTATGCAGATGGTAGACATCAGATTCGACTCCGGGCTATCTAATGGAACATGCTATCTAACTTGTTATCTCATTAGAAACAAGAATCCAACACAAAAAGATGTCTTTGTGCAAAAGGAACCGATAAATATCAAATTTCCTACAAAAATATCAAATTTCTAGTCATAAATTTCATCAATTTTTATAAATTAGCTGATGCCCACACAGATACACAAAAAATTAGCTGTAAAAATTCATAAAGCCACTGAACTCAATTCCTTTTAAAGTGTTAGCATATGTTCAACATCAACAATCAAAAAGAAACTTCATGAACTAAACTTCAGCATCAGTATCAAACATCTAGCTAGTAAACGCCAAAAAGGGGCTTCATTAAACGCCAAAAAGGGGGCCCAAAACATCATATCAAGTAACATCTCCGTGCATCTACTTCCGGTACAGCTTTACCGCAACACATTCATGTATCTGCAAGAAACAAGAAATCAATCCAAGGTACAAAGATGAACAACGTGAAAAAAATAAAAATTATACTCCTCTCACATTGTTACTATGTGGCTGTATCTCTTCAGTAGATAGGCTGTACTCCTTCATCAGCCAAGATATGTCGTTAGGACTTGGATGTTTTGGAACAAATTTGTACGACTTTATGTTGAATACGACACCGTCATTGCTCTTGATATTTTGCACAAATCCACCTACACGGCTCCACTTGCCGCCCCATTCTGCGGGAATTGATCGAATGGCTTGACCGTTAGAACGGCGCCGCACCGGGGTAAAAAAGTACAGTATGCCCGGCTTTCCGTGAATATAATTTGCTGCAAATAAAAAATACATTCAATTCCCATTGTAAAGTAGCTTTTCATTTTATTAAACTTCTGCCTCCACCCCTGCATCTAGCATCTTTTTTCACTCTTAACATCTTATTAAAATATTTCACCAACCTTATAATACCAACGATTTCCATATAAATGTCAACTGGAAGTCAAGTGAGGAAGTGGACCTACAAATGTCCTCAAAATGGGTCTTCGTGATTGCAAAAATCAGAGTTTCATAATGTAAAATAGGATGGAGGTTAGAGAAAATTCATTTGATCCCCGAAGGAAAAAGGTAAAGAAAAGCCAGTGACGAATTAATTATGTATTACACAAAGCTGGGGAGATTTGCTGACATCTTATTTCCTCTAGCAAAAGAAAAAGAAAAAATATTGAAGCATAATCATCCTTTTCACGCTACCAATTATGAGTCCAAAATTATGTTGCTTTCTAATTTACGACTTCCAGTAACATTAATCATAAATTCATATTCAATATCGGTTATTAATGAACAAGATTAAAATACAGATCCAAGACTAATTAGAGCCATGAAAAAACTTAAAATAGACAATAGTTGAAAGATGAATCGAAAAGGGAAGAAATCTTGAGGTTGGAGAAATAACAAATTCAAGAAGCATGGATGTATAGTAACTTTTCAGCACAATGTATGACAGATGAACTGCAAAACTTATGACTCCACTAGTTCAAAGGAGCGGGCCGAACTCAAGCTAGTCAAAAGCAAATTATCTTTCCCAACTTCTGGGGAATTGAATGGATTTCACACCCCCTTATTATATGCAGTCCTTACCTTGCTACTCTTACTTCCACTTATTCTCTC